ACTACTACTACATCTCTCTTCTCAGCCAAATACTTGGGAAGAGAAGCCCTTAGTTTGTGTCATTGTTTTCTCACCTCCAGTTCACTGCTTTACCCACTGCCTGACATGTAGCTCACTCTCACACATGCACAAGCTCAATCACTAAGTTGCCATAGCTGATTTGTAGCTTTCATGCCCTCCTAGCAAAATCTGACTCTGTGCATTGGGATATTACTTACTGAGTGGCTATTGACCAGGCACTGTGCTAGGTGCTGCTGTTACAGAATGAAATCAGACGTCATCTTCTTTCTAATGACCCACAGGAGCAGCCATTCCTGATTGCTAAGCTGGTCTCTTGACTCCGAGTGCTCACTTTTGCAAGCTTTACTTAATGTTCTGTAAATCACTCTGTTCTCCAGGTCTTCTTTCTTTCCAATTCTCCTTACTATACACAACTTCTCAAGGCAATCACTTCCATGCCCATGGCTTCAGTTGCATTCTATATTCTCTGAGGACAATAGAATTTTAAATTTAAAATGTTAGCTTTATTTTATGTAAGAGACCTCATTTGCTATAACCACAGATTCCGGGTTACTCCATGAAAGTAATAAATAAAAAGTGGTGATATTCTTAGCATGTAACTTTTAGGAAATTTCCCCAATTACTCTTAATGGTTGGATTCAGTATTTGTGCTATTTTTGAAAACATATGTTTGGATGTCACAAATGGACTTAGCCTACAGTGATTTATATTCAACTTTGACCAGAGAGTTCCATTTTAATGTGACACTGAGCGTAAAAAACTGTCTTTTCCTCCTTAGCAATTTCTCTTCCTACATTCTCTGACAGGAGAAAGGTACAACTCTGTACCCGGCCTTCCCCAGCAGAGCCCGTGCAGCCCTGTTTTTCCCTCTACTTCCCTGCTTTCACATCTCATGACCGAGTACTTCCTATTCTGTCTCCCGAGTAATCACAAAATTTTTTCTCCACTTTTGTCACTGCCACTGCCTTTAGCATCAGTCTTCCTTTAGATAGTCTCTTAATTGGTCTTGTTGCTTCCTTCAGTCCTTTCTTATTATACAGACCACTACACACGCATCTGACAGAGACTCCTCACCTTTGTATGGTTCAATGACTCAAATTTTCAGAATAAAATTAAAACTACCCCAGCGTCAAATTTGGGGCCAAATAGAGGTGGGTTTGTAACTCAGGTTCATATACTGTTCAGTAATGTGGTCTCACAAAACTGAACTTCTTAAGCCTTTCACACATACAGTGTCTGGCACGTAGAAGGGACTTTATCAATGCTGAATGAACAGGAGGCATTTTAAAATTCACATCAAAAAAATATTTTAAAAAAATATGCCAGTCTATAATGTCACTTCCCCTCCAAGCTTGACTTCTACCTGTACTTTCTGATATGGTTTGGTCATGTCCCCTCCCAAATCTCATCTTGAATTGTAATTCTCATAATCCCCACATGTTGTGGGAGGAACCCAGTGGGAGATAATTGGATCATGGGGGCAGTTTCCCCCATGCTGTTCTTGTGATAGTGAGTGAGTTCTCATGAGATCTGATGGTTTT